GGCGCGAGGGGGATGGGGGGTGGCAGGCCTGCCCCTACCACACCCCCACCCACCCACACCCCGGCAAAGCCTCCTGGAGCTTTTTCAGCAGTGAAAATGCTCCTCTGAAAGCGGCGCTTTGCTGTGGGGGGGTGGCGGGCCTGTTCCTGCCACACCCCCACCCACCCGCACCCTGGCAAAGCACTGCTTTCAGAGGCTTCCCCAGTGCATTTTCCACTGCCTATTTACCTGCTGGGGAAGCCTCTAAGAGCAGCGCCCATCAGCTGTAAGGCGGGGGGGAGGGGCTGGAGCGGGGAAGCTGGCAAAATGGCCGCCCGCTGTTTTCTGGACGGATTCCTCGCTTACCGAGGCGGCGAAAATGGCCGCCCCTATGGAGGATCTTCGCTGAACGGTGAGTTTTTGCCCCATATGGGGGGCAAAACCCCTATGGGGTTTTTTGATCCGTTTAGCGATGTTTCCGGATAGCAACGTTAATCCTGGAATGGATCAACGTCGCTATGCGGGGCGCTACTGTAGTTTCATCATCACCACAATCACCATAATTGCCACCATTATTAATATAATGCCACTAATAGGTTTAGGTTTATGAAAAGACAGGCTCTAATATGTTAGCCTATAGGGCGCCACAAAACTGTCCCTTTTTTGTGATCAGCTAGTTGGGTAAGAAGAGTCACAGATGATCTCTGTAAACACATTTGCAAAGTGGCAAGAGACAAGCAGGTCCCAGCCCTGAAATCAAGCCCTGAAATCAAGATATCATTCAGAAAATGCAATACAGAAAAGAAAGGAAGAGGTGTGAGTAAACAGGGGAGAGCACACATCAAGTTTAGTTATATATACATGTTTAGGCTTCCTTTCATTAAGGGGTGTTTGGTTCAAAGACTTTCTGTATAAACAGGACATTAAAAAGGGTCTGAAAGAACAGAGGAAAATCATGTATATGTTCTTCGAAGAAATGCCAGGGAAAAACAGCAATGCTATTTATTTATTAAACTTATTTTATATTTATGTTATTTTTAAAATTCTATTGAAGGGATCAGGGGTCTTCTGAATGGCCGAGGTTAGTAGTGCTGGAGAAGCAAAGGTCAGATGTAGCAGAATGAATGCAGAGAGGGGAAGGAGAGGAGACAGGCCATCAAGGACTCTGAAGGAGGAGAGGGTAAAGAGCTTATTCTTCACTTGGAATTAGGCCAAAAGTTAGTGTGGTGCTACAGAGCAAAGCAGCAGGCCCCTTAAATTTCTCATGTATCCAAGTTATCCACTCCAACTGTCATAGCTTGACAGTATTAGCATTCATTTAAAGACATTTCTAACTAACTTTGCACTACTAACCAACTTTGCACTACAAAGGCTTACAAAGCTAATAAAAGCGGTAATTACACAGTACACAAGAACACCAGCTAAAACGTTCCTCTGCTGAGAATGGAAGTTAAACAGTATTTAAACCCAGGAAAACAGGACAGACTTAGGGTGCAACCAGATGGCCTAATTGTTCTAGGCTCAGTTGCACTAAAACATGCAAAAGAGGGTCACTTTGAGGTGCAGTATGTCACCTGGGGGAATCCTTGCATCCACATGCATGGATGGGGTGGTGTGGGGGCAGGAATGCACACCCTCCCCCCTTTAAAGAGATTAACAACAACAAAAGATCCCCCTGCTTGTCCCCTTCTCTCTCCTCCTCTGTGAGGGAGTGGAAGGAAGCTTTCAATTAAGTAATAATAATTTCTTAATTGGTTTGTCAAGCAATGAATTGCTCACATCAGAGGCAATCTGCATTCAGATTTTATTGTGAGAGACCATGTTGGGAGACTCAGGAGACAGCATTTCATTTCATTCCAAGAAGAAATGAGGCCAGAAAAGGAGATGCAAACCACAGGTACAGGCCAGCGGGTTCAGAAGGTAGGATAGATGTTGTGGCCATCAAGTGACCTGGAGACACTCTGGACAGCAGGTCACGAAGGAATATCCTTTTCAACATCAAGACTACAAGTTCTATTTCTCCATATTATTTGGAACAAATGATCAGGACTGGAAATGGAAAGCATAATTTTGAACGAGAGAGCTCAGTGATCATTAATCTCTTTTCACTAAGCAAGAATAATCACACAAGAATTGAATCATACACATTATAAGAACCGTTCTGGGTAGAAGATTGTTTCACAGTATAGCAGCACAAACTGGAGATGTTCACCTGCGCTTTGACAAACAGTAGCCACAACAGACATTTTTAAGCTTACAAAATGCTGCCATTGTAGTCAAAAGCTTAAGAGGTTGCAGTCTTGGAATCATCTTCCCTTTAAGTGGACACAATGGATGCCACCTTTAAAAAAAGAGTTTCCCCAGACTATACTTGATCTGTAGAAAAATTATTTCCCCTTTTCAATGCTGCAAATCTCTCTATTATTAGAAACACTTGAGACTTGAGTACAAAGCAATCCTCTGGTTGCTGAAGCTACAACGTGAATGCTTATTTGGCCAGTACAAAAGACTTCTGCTCAAAAATGGTCAGAACTAGGAAAATTTTCTTCCCCTGCCCCACCTTGGGCCTCAGTTCCTAGCATATTCCAGACAGAATGGCTACTGGTTATGCTGGCAGAGGTATTCTGCAAACTGTAATGCAAAAACTTTAACTTTTCCATCTCTGAAGATAACTAACTGTTATCACAACTGCCTCTTCTATCTTTTCCTTAACTCTAAATACTCTTTCACTGCTCGGCTGTCATAATCAACTCAGACTCTGAATTAGTAAGGAGACACTCCCAGCTTTTTTCCTGCTTTTGTGTGAGAAGTAGCAGCACTCTCTGTTAAAACAATGGAAGTCTTGCAGACTGATACAGTCCCTACATGTATGAAACAATAATGTTTTCAGTTTTTCTCACAGCAGGATTAAATACTACAGCTTAAGCTGTTCTGCAGGATGCATAAACTTATTTTGAGAGATGACGACTCAGCTCTGTTCGTAAATACATGTCGCTTCTGTTGCCACAGCTACATTGCCCAGGTGAAGCCTGTTCCAACTCTCTTGGGCTGCAGGCTTCTTGATCAGCATAGAACAAAGATGGGCAATCTCAGCTTGGCTGAAGGCCCAATTTCAATGTGGCCGGGAGGTTGATGACTGTGTACCCTGTCCCCCACCACAAAAATTAAAAGGTGAGTAAAAAATTGTGCAATCCACCACTGAGAAAACGCGGCGTGGGGAGCATGTCACACACACACACCAAAAGGACTATAGTTTTTAAATCATGGAAACTGTCACTGTCTTTATCTGAATCCAGAGCTGTTCTTACTTGAACAAAGTTGCTACGTAACTGTTTACCTGAGCGCACTATATATGTGTGTGTGTGTGTGTGTGTGCCACCTAGGAATTTTTCCTTCAACCACGATCCATCTTTCTTCCACCCTGACTTGATTTTGTTTCTACAGTGGGGTCTCTACTTAAGAACTTAATCCGTATTGGAAGGTGGTTCTCAAGTTGAAAAGTTCTTATGTTGAATCTGCATTTCCCACAGGAACGCATTGAAAACCATTTAATCCGTATCGGCTCTTTTCTGTCCATAGAAACTACAGTGGAACCTCTACTTAAGAACTTAATCCATTTTGGAATGGTGTTCTTAAGTTGAAACTTTCTTAAGTTGAAGCAGAATTTCCCATAGGAATAGACTGAAAACCAATTAATCCGTTCTGGCTGTTTTTTTGTTATGTAGAGGTGAGTTCGTACATTGAAGCATTAGTTCCCATAGGAACTAATGCAAAGCTGGTTAATACGTCCTCTACCACTAGGGGGAGAATTTTTTTTAACCTAAGATGACCTAAGGTTAAAAAAAGAGCAGGAAAGGTTTTTTTTCCTGTCCTTATCTTGGATTTCTGTTCTCAAGTAGAAGCAAAATTTAGCAAATGGAGCTGTTCTTAAGTTGGATTGTTCTTAAGTAGAGATGTTCTTAAGTAGAGACCCCACTGTATGAAGAGTGTGAACTTACTTTCATTCTCACTATGATTCTTGCTGCAAGGCAATCTCCGTGATACCTGTCCATAAATGGGTATCAAATAATTCAACAGAGAATGCCAGTGGGGTACTAAGTGTTATACTGCTTTTGATGAGATGAGTGCCAAAGAGACCTCCAGCGCTGCTTAATGCCAACTGACCAGTTGTATGGAAGAGGTGGAAGAGTTTTGGTCAATCAGGAGTTTTTCCCTTGCACTTGCTTGTGAAAAAGAAAAGAGAGGAAAACACTAGAGGAATACAGCCACACCTCCTGGCATCTCTACTCTACAAAATAATTCATATCATCTGCTGATTTCTAGCTATTCTAAGCTTCACCTGTTTGTTCATGCATTATAACATACTGATTTCCCTAGGACAATGG